GCCCTGGCAAGAAGTCCTTCCCCCATCCCTGTGCCCTCTGAGGACCCCCACCTCTACTCCAGCCTCAAATACAAGCCTAAGAGCAAAAAGGATAAACTTAGACCCCAAGCCCAGGACAACTCCTGGGGCATAAATGTATTTCCAAAATCTGAAGAGAAGTGAGGGCAGAGATCTGAGGCAGAAGAGTGTTTCCGGGATGAGGGCTCAGGAAAAGGTACCTGGAAACCTCTCTGCTCCATCCTCAATTCTCAGAAGGCCCTTCTTCCTGCGTTTCTCAGCAGGTGGGCTTTCAGAGAGACCTGAGCCTGGAAGTGGGCGTTGTGTATTTGTTGGGAATGAACTGGGGATGTGTGAGTGTTGTGGAGAGGGTCTCTGCAGTCCTCGGGCTGGCTCTCCCCACAAGCTGTCTAGAAGAATGTAATTCATGACGGTCGATGGGCTCTTTGATTAGTTCAATCGCCTGAATAATCGTTTAATCAATAAAGCATTTCATTCCTCAGCACAGTTGGACTGGGTGGGGCTTGGGGTGGGGTGAGATAGGGGAGCCCTAGGCTGGCCAGGGCTTAAAATCTAGCCAGCCACGCCCCCTCCTCACTGATGGGTTGGGGAAGAGCTGCCTGCCTGGAAAAGGGCGACAGTTCAAGTGAGACTGCACTTCCACCTGTCCACTCCAGCCTGGGTCAGGGCTGGAGAAGAGAGGGAAGCTGAAAAGCTGTCCAAGCTGGTGCTCAAAGGGGTGTCCAGGTCTGGTTCCTATGAGAGCTTCTTCCTTCTCCCAACTTCTAGGTATTTCATGGGCCGATAGACTTCCTTTTTCTTCCTTCAGAACCATATTCCATTTCTTACCCCAACCTCAGTTTCCCTATCTGCCCAATGGGGAGGGAGTGTGTCCTTCTGGCTCTAAGCCCATGATAAGGTCAGGTCAACACTAAGCAGGGAGTCACTTAAGGACCTTCTCCTCTAATGTCTTCCTTGCTGTAGGGAAAGAAAACAGAGGTTCAGAGAGGGGCAAGGACTTGTAGGAGATCATAAAGCATGAGTAATGGAGGGAATAGGAATGGATGGTGACCTCTCTGCCCTTAGACCTCCTGCTCCTGCTGGGAGAAGAGACAGATTCCCCCCTCTCTCCATGGACTCCCTTGGAGAAAAACTACTATTGGGCAAGTAGTAGTCTCTCCTTGCCATGGGAGCCCTTGAGTCCTTAGGCACAGGCAGGTCTGGATGGGTTGAATACTTTCCCACTGGACATTGGCATCAAGTCTCACAGTTCTGGAATGAGCCTGGGATGGAGTGATAGATAGTAACAAACCCCTATCCATGAAGCTTCATCTCACAGAGCCTAAGAAGTCACATCTCAGGGTTTGTTCTCTGTATTAAATAAACGGGGAAGCAGAGACTTTAGAAGGGGCTGCCTGTCTCAAGTCTTTGGGAGACAGAGTTAGTCCCAGTGCCCCTGGCCTGCAGAACATGCTGGTAATGATAACACACCCTGACTAAGGCGGTTTTACATGATTCTTGAAAAACCTGGTTAAATTCTCATTTTTTCTCCATCCTCTTCAAGAACTCCTGAAAACAGAGCCAGGTCAAGTAGAGCAGACTCCTGATCCAGGGGCAGGAATCATGCAGGAATCTGCCGTGCCTTGACTTTCTGTATAATTTCAGGTCAATTTCGTTCCTTCTGACACTTAATTTTTTTATTTTTTAAAAATAAAGTTTAGAGAGAACTCAATGGGTTGAGACAGCCATGCAGGCAGCATCCCTGATCTTTCCAGAACTGAGCAACCAGTCTGAGCCCTATTGGGCCCCACTTTGTCAGAAGCAAGAACAGGGAAATGGGCTGGCCTTGGGTTGAGGGAGTCGATGTCAGGCTAATAGGTTACTGTTAGCAGCCCCCACATCCTGAAGCGGCGGAATGCAGTGCGCTGGGAGGCGTGGAAGGGAAAGCCGGGAGGGGGTGTGTCCCCAGTGAAGCGAGGTCTTTGGCTTCTCAAACATTATTCTCAATGGGCTGTCTTTCAGTACTAAAACTTTCAAAGGCAATTTGGTTTACATAAATGAGTTTCTTCCTGGATAGTTTCCTTTCGCGGTCTCCTGTCCCCAGCGCCTAGCACAGGGCCCGGCCCAAAGCTCTGCTACTGGGAGAAAGAAAGTGCATCACTGTAGATCACAGAGAAGCCCGACTACGTTGAGAGCCGCGGTGAGACCAGCCCCGCGCTAGTCTCTTTCTCCTGGACCAAGGCTGCGGCTCGTGGGCGTTCAGAGACAGGACTGAGACGCAGTAGCCCGGCTCCACCGTGGACTTGCTGTGCAGCCTCAAGCTAGTCATGTAACCTCTCTGAGCTGTCGTTTGGTGACCTGTAAGGCTGGGCTAGGTGATCACGGTATCAGGTCTGGTCGCGCCTTTGGGGTTGGAACTTCCCAGAGGCGGCCCGCTTGGGCGGTGATGAATCACCTCCACCCAGGGGGAAACTCCTTCCCCCAAGAACGCCGCGAGGAGCGGGAGGGGGCTGCTCTGGGTGCACAGGTAAGGCGGGTCCTGTGTGTGCCACGCAGCAGAACACTGTCCCGAAGCCGGACGCCTACTGTGTGAAACGGGGAATCGGCGCCACTCCTGCTCGGGCCGTGCCCTGGGGCTTCTATACAAGGCTCACGGGTGTCCGAAGGAAAACCTGCGTGTGCGGGCATATTCCAGCCGAGTTCTTCAATTTGGCAGCATCGCCCCTCCCTCACTATCCCGAGAGCGGCTCTGGAGAGGCCCTTTTGAGAAAGGTTTCCAGCCCGCAGCCTTTCTTCTACTCCAGACTTGCTGTGTGACTTTGGACAAGTCGTATCCTGCCTCTGGGCCTCGGGTTCTGCACCTGTGAAATGGAGAAAGCATAGCTTCGGGACCCTTTTAGCGCTAAGATTCTAGAGAACCTGGGTTTGTAGGCCTGAGCTCAACAAGAGAGGCTGGGGGTGGGGGTGTCACTGGCTGCATCCCTCAGGGCGTCCCACACTCCGGCCTCTCCAGTAGGTGTGCAAGCCGCCATGCTGAGTCTGAGCCGAGGATCTGAATTCTGGTCATTTCCGACCCACTGGGCGCTATCAGTGAAGCCAGTGCGGGAACTCTATTCCATCCCTGTCCCTCTGTGCTGTTGCGATCTTCCTGCTCCAAGGCCTGGGGTGAAAGGGGAAGATCCGGACAGGCGGGGTTCCAGACAAAGAAGAGATAACGCCGCCACTCCACCCCAGCGCGCACTGCAGCCTCCTGGGTCCCCAGAGGCCCGCCTGGGGCCGTTTTCCGCAGCTGTGCCCTGGTGGGGGGTGGGGACGGGTGTCAGCGCCGGAAACTTGTCTACTGGTCAGGGACAGCTGGGTGTGGAACAAGGACAGAAGGTGGGCCCAAGGGTCGACCCAGTGCAGGAGTTTGAGAAGTAGAGCATGAGTAGATAGAAGGCAGAGGAAGGCAAACCGAGGCAGAGAATAAAACAAGAGGATAACCCAGGAATACTCCCATGATCACCCTGTACTCTATCTTCCTTACAAGCCCAGTCCTGGAGCAGGCGTCTCAAAGCCCTTGTTTTGGTGGATTTATGTTTAATATTAGCGGAACACCACTCCTGAAATACAAAGTGAGTCTTCAGACCACTTCCCTGAGTTGCTGGGGGCAAGGGAATCCTCAGCGTATTTCTTGTGCCAGGGCCCAGATGACTCACAAAACTAACTATAGCTTCCTGGGTGAAGAATGACTATCACATGCTTCCTTTTCAAGGTCCAGTTTCTTTGACTGTTGTCTCAGAGCCTTAAACCCCACCAAGAAACGGACTCTCTAGTCAAAGATCCTTTCTGTAGCAAGAGAGTTCTGCTACAAATCCATCCATTTTGTCTACATAGGGACAGGAACTTCCTCTGTAGACGGAAGGTCGGGTTTTCCCGTCAACTGGAAGCTGCCCTACTGTAGCGCGCCTGGCCACTTTGCTTGACCCTTGCAGATAGAATGCGCCCGCACACCCACCCGCTTCAGGGGCCCTTATTAGCCCTGGACGCGACTTGGCTCATTCGGTTCTCAAGGAACTTGGAGCTGGGTGCGGAATTACTCCGGTGGACAGAAGCGCAACACTAGCTCCCAAAGCGTCTGGCAGTTCTTGATCTGAGGCAGGAAAGAGGGCCAGCCACTCTGCTTGGGCAATCTGGCCCAAAGCCTTAGCCCCTCCACCCAGGTGCGCCCTGGTGCGCCCCAGTTACTAACTTTAAAAGAGTGTGAGATTTTCTCCCCTTTCCCCCAACGTGTTTGCCTTTGGGTAATGCAGCATTGAGGGCCCTGCAGGTGGAGTGAGGGAGGAGGGTGGACGAGGAGGAGCCAGTGGTGGTTTAGTAGGTACCTGATAAAATTAGGAAATAAAATTAGGAAATATTTCCGTGGAAGGAGCCTTTATTAAAATCTAGTTAACCCCACTCTGCCCATTTTACAGATGAGGAAAGTGAGGTCAGAACTGGCAGATATGCACACACTCCGATGCACACAGTCCGATTCCATCACGAGCCTGATGGTGCTGGATCTACTGTGCTCCTTGTCTTCCTCCAACATAGATTGTTTTTTTTTTCTGGAGACTTCCCCCATTCTCACCCTTCACTCAGCTGCTCTCAAGCCCTGAGAGCGTCCCAGGATCCCAGCGTCGCGTTGGGGAGGTCGAGCCCGCGTGGGACCTGCGGCAGGGCTCTCCAGGCAATGCGTGGGCCCCCTTCCCCCTCCCCACAGCAACGATCCACTAGGCCTTAGTCCAGCGCGTTTGTCAATGAACGTGGCGCCGCCGCCTGGGCCCCGCCCCCCATTCTCTCCCATTGCCCAGGTATCCGCTAATCAGGCGGAGCCCGTGGGCTGCTTAGCCAATGGGTCGGTGTTTCGGGCCAGGGCCGGCTGCCTCCACTCTGATTGGCTTGGTGAAGCGTGATTGGCAGGTTAGCTCCCGCCCCGCCCCCGCCCGGAGGGAGCTGAGCCCCGGGCGGCGCTGTCCACACGCAGCGGGTCCTGAAAGCGGCTCCGGGGCGGCGCGGTGGCGCACTGTGCGCGCCGAGCAGGCGGAGGGCTAGCGCCGGCGGCGGCGGCAGCAACGCAGGCAGTCAGAGCCGGCTGCGGCTCCGTCTCAGCCCCGGCAGCCCCGGCGGCCTTGGTGGCGGGAACCCTCTGCTCTCTCCTCTGTTCCTCACTCCACGCCTGGGGCAGGCGCGGCGGCCGTCCCGGAAGAGGCAGCGGAAAGACAGTGGAACCAGACCCACGAGGGAGGGCGGCGGGGCGCGAAGAGTTGGTAGGCACGAGGTAGACACCCTGGCGAGGAAGAGTCCTTCGCTGGTGTCCCCGTTCCTGGTCCCGGCGATGGGCGAGCAGCGGGGGCCGCGGGAACTTTGAAGGCAGCGGGTTTCAGGGTTGGAGGGCTGCACGCTCCCGAGGACTTCGGAGTCGCGGCCCTAGCGTCAGGGGCGGAAGCATCTCCAAACCCGCAAGAACCCCGCGCTGCCGTAGAGGAAGTTCTTTGCAACTTCGTAAGAGACGTCGGAGAGCCAGTTGGAGAGAGGCCGAGGGGAAAGTCTGAGCCCCAGAGACTCGGAGAAGCAGAGAAAGAAAGGATCTGGCGGAGACCGAGGGGTCGAGGAAGGACCCCAGAGGCATCGAGGCCGCGGAACCAGCCTGGCAGCCCCCGGGTCTCGCTGCCCCCTGAGTGAAGTCAAGGGCCGAGTGTTCCGGCGGCCTCTTCAGAGCTGCTCCTACCCGGGGCCGGGGGCTGCTGGCTGTCCCGGAGGCGGGCCGCTACGCTATGCCCCCGAAGCCGCGGGCGCCTTGGCCGCAGCTACCCCGGGCTGGGCCCGGAGCCGCCGCTTGAGCCAGCCAGGGAGGGAAGCCAGCCGGAGTTGGGCACCCGCTCCCAGCCGGGCTGCGCTAGCACCGTTTCCCGCCTCTCCGCACAGCTCCCGGCGGTCTCCAGCAGGGAGGCTCTGAGAGAGACCTCGAAGCTCCAGCAGTGTTTTCTGAGCCCAGCTCGCACAGTGCCTGGCCTGGTGGCGCGGCTACCTATCCGCCCTGGGCAGCCCCTTGGCGCCGGGAGGCGGCGGCGTGGGCCGGCCTGCAGTCTGGAGCGCCCCGATGGAAATACACTGTAAGCACGACCCGTTTGCATCCATGCATAGTAAGTAGGCGGCGAGCTCGCTTCTCTCACTCTCCCGCCGGGACCGGGTTGGGGGCGCCGGACCGTGGGTCAGGTACTAAGGCCGGGAGGATCTCGGACCTCTGCAGCCGCGCAGACAACTTTGCAAAGTGCAGGGATCCCAGGCAGGGGACCTGAAACAACGCGCTTGGCCGCCGGGGCTGGAGCACCTGGTCCGGGAATCCCGCCTCCGGCAACGCGTAGCGTGGGCAGCGAGCTGCAGCCTTTCAAGGCTCCGGCGGCGACATTTCAGCTCTTTCGGACAACCTTGGCTTGGACCCGTAGAGGGCTCCGGGCCAGGCCAGTTGGAGGGCAGTAAGTTGTAGGGAGAGGTCAGTCTGAGTCTCAGACAGCGCCCCACACCCCTACTCCGATGGCGCCTTTTTCAGCCGCGGGGCTGATCCAGACTGGAGCTTGGAGGGAAAGTGGGGCCCTGACCCGTGTCTGTATGTGTGGAGGAAGAGGTTGAGAGCTAAGCGAGGACACCGGGGCTAGGGCTCCAAAGGTGTCCTGGAGTTGAGAAGGGGGCTTTGAAAAATCAACGAAGTAGCGGTTTCTGAGTTCAGCTTCTGCTTAGGAGCTGGCCAGTTCATACAGAGACCCTTAAAGACCCCATTAGGTCCTTCTCTGCAGGACGCCTTTTCTCATGGCTTCTCCCCTTTAAAAAAGGAGGATAAGAAAGCAAAAAGAAAGAAAAAGGAAGCCAATTATTCACCACGCAGACACCCCCACCTCTGAAAGACGCAGCGTGTGTAGGAGACGGGAAGGGTCATTTCGGGCGAGGGCAAGGCCGGCCTGGCTCCCTGGCTCGCAGGGATCCTGCCAATTCACCCATTAGCACAGCCTCCTGTGAGATGAGCGCTCCTCTCACGGTGAGTTAACGCCGGATTAGATTCGGAGATTTCAAGGAAATTCCAAGTGGAACGAATCGCGTTTCCTTTCTGTTTGCTGCAGAGCCAGGCTGGAGGAAGGTGCCAGGCTTTGGCAGCCTCCGCTCGGGTGCCGCTCGGGGTCTCTGCGGGCTGCAGGTCAGGGAGTTGCTCCCGGGCTAGAAGCCCTCCCCATGCCTGGCGCCCCCCCCCCCCCCCCGCCTCGCGCCAAAGCCTGGGATCCAGCTTTCCTAGTCGCAGGTCCCCTATTTAACAAAGGCAGCAGAGACCCGGCTGGAGAGAAGGCGAGCTTCCCGTGGCGAGCATGTCCGTGTCTGCCACCGAGTGCTGAGTGGTCTGGCAAGCAGGGGAAAGCTTGTCTACGCAGCCAGGGCTGGCTTCGGGCAGCTCAGTTTCTCTTTGTGTCAATTTTCTGAGTCTGAAGTAATCCACCAAAGCGGTGGGGAGCTCTGTGCAGAGGAACTGCCCGTTCTGGTTCCAGTCCAAACGATTCCTCAAGGTTTGGGGCCTGTGCCCAACTGGTTTCCAGTCTGTGGTGACCCCAGTGCCCTCCACAGCCTTTTCCGGCTCGAACTCCAGCCTGGCTCTGGGGAGGCTCTGATCTCGCAATGGAAGCCCAAAACAAACCAGTTGGGGAAATGCTCTGAGAGGCGGGCAAGCCCTTGGCTCAGCCAAGGAGCAACTATGGGGACAGATGGGGAGCACCAGCCCCTGCGCTTCTCTGCTCACCGGTGGAAATCCACAGGCCCTCACTGTGTCCTTCTGCCCAGAGCTCCGTGGCCCTGAGGTTGTGCCCTAGCTCTTGGGGAGATAGCATCAGACCTGGTGGTCTCTCGGCTAAGCATCAGTGTGGAGAAGGCAGCTCCTTTCAGGTGCGGGTTAGCCAACCGCTAATGTCTGTGCCTCCTTGTCCCGGCCGTCAATCTGCCCCCTCCGTGGGAATTGCTCCCTCCCATTTTCAGTCTCCCTGGCAGCACAGTGGGGGCTGGGCCCCAGCCAGCCTAGCTTCCAGAGCTGGTGCAAGACCTTGGCTTCTCTGGAAGCACTCTCGGTTCTGAGGCCCAAAGCTGTTTTCTTGCACAATGTAGGCCTGCTCTGCGGCCCCAACTTGCTAGCAATGGGGAGTGGGGGGCGCGGTAGATCCTGGAAGGTGGCTGAGGTAGTAGAGGATCAGATCAGGTCCCACCTCCTCACCTTCCTCCTGGCCCTGTCAGTTTCTTCTTCCTGTTACCTCTCCCTGCCTCCATCCCCCTACCACTGCTTCCCCCCACCACTGCTTCAGAGCCGGATAGCTTCTTTGGAGAGGGGCAGGGGCTTCCAGGAAATGGCCTTCTGAGTTTGGAGGAGTCCCTACCCACTATTCCAGGCTCATCATTTTCATCAGCACAGTAACCTCCTGCTCTCTTCCTGAACTGTTTCCCTAGGTATCTTTACCAGTTATAAAACACTTATAGCCAGTGTCCTACCTGAGGGTGGCCTAAACCTTCAGCTTCACCCATTTTACAGAATATGATATTGAGGTCAGAGAGACAAAAGGACTGACTCAGGAAGTTCACACTGGCAAAGCTGGAGCTGGTTCTTGGATCTCCCTGACCATCTGACAAAGGCATAAAAATGAGGCTTCAGAGGGTTCACAGAAGGGGAGAGGGAGGGACTCAGATTCCAGAGAGAGGGCAATGGGTATGCACACATGCAAAGCTCTCTCTCTGTCAAGTCTAACCATATCTATGTCTACTGCCTGACTTTCCACATGTGTCAGTACCTATCTGTGCATTGGAGAGTCCATTAGGGAGACTTATTCTCTGCCCTTTCCCTGTGCCCCTGTTTGCCTGTCTCTGTACCCCTTCATTCTTTCTGGTGCATCTAGGAAAAATTTTAATGATCCTATGGGGGCCCTGGAGCTCAATCTGTGGCTGAGTCAGCAAAGACCCTTTCCCCAAAATCCTATGCTCAGCTATGGTCTTTGGTGGTATTGGGAGGGCCTGTGGTGGGTAGCATGTCCTTATCAGGGCCTGAGGAGCATCTGTGGAGGCCAGCCCTTTCCAGACCAGAGCCACAAGGGCCTCAGGAGCCTCTGCAATTCAGTCTGTCTCTCCTCACTCCCCTCCAAACACTGCCCAGTCTGCCCTGTCCTGTGGCCTGTCTTTTTCTTTTATCTGTGGGTCTGTTTCCTGGTCTTCAACCTGATTTGTTTGCCTCTGTCTCTGTGTCAGTCCCCCTTTCACGGGATGCGTCCTTACTTAATTGGAGTCCATAGGAAGTACAGGCTGGGACTTGGGTTGTCCAAGACCAGAAAACAAAGAAGTCTCTAGACTTCTCTGTCTAGAGAAGTCCCCTGTCCTCCAGAAGCCCCTTCCTGGGCTTCCTCCAGTTTCTCTTCTTGTTGCCTCTCGCTGTGTGCCACCTTCATCTTTCTTTTCTTGGCCTATTGTAGCTTCTCTATTCCTTTTCCCTCTCCTCTGCCTGCCTAACCTGCTGCTTCCTTTCCGGGCTCTGTCTCTCCTGCTTGTCTATCTCATTCAGTTCCCACTTTTGCACTTCTCTCAACACACCTCTTTTTTCCTCTTTTTGTTCCCCATCCTGCCTTGCCTCATTCAGACTTTGGACTTCACTTCTGACCAGTTCCAGAGTAAGTGGCCTTCCTCACACCATAGTTGTAAACCTTCTCACCACCACCCTCTAAGAGCTCCATTGAGTGGGATTGTGATGGTGGAGAAGGCCAAAGGGGCTTGGGGACCTTTCAAGGAAGTTGAGGAAGGTAAGAGGCTCCCAGGTCATACCAAGTCTGGTGTCAGCTGTGGACCTATAGATGAGATTGTGAAAGAGCATTACTAGCTCAGCCTATGTGGTCAAGGGTAGAGGGTTTGGGGACCTGCTCTCACCTTGAGAGACCAGGCTCTAGGAGACCTTTAGGGTTTTTCCCATGATACAAAACAGCCTGCAGTGCTCACAAATGTCCTGCAGGACAGCTTTTGGAATGTAAGTCCTCTGAAGGTTGCCACTGTGTTTTGGGCAGAAAGTCTCAATTGTCAGTGACCTAGAGAACAGACTATTGCAGATGGACCATAATAACTGGACTCCCAGGCCATATCAAAAGTGTGCTGGGCATTTAAGCTTCCTTTGCCTGCCCTTTGTTTTCCCAGATGAGCTTATACCAATTTTGAATTCATTTTCTTTTACTTAAATCCAGCCTACTCTTGAAAGATCTGTACAACCTTTTTAAACAGGTGTTCCCAGCCCCAGAACAAAGCCTTCTGAAGCCTCTTGACCAGGGTAGCTACAGTCTTTCTGTTTTAGAAAAACTATGCAATTATGTTTCTAACTGCAAAATCCTATTTGGAATGGTTTTCCTTTTTCTTATATCTGGAGTGTTTTAGAACAATCAAAACTGAATAAAGATCATTTTGAAAATCAGAAATCCAGCTTAGAACTGGAACTAAGTACTTCAGTTATCTATAAAATTGTGTTTTTCCTTGAAATAAGCCTGAGCCTGAAATATTTTTGGGAAATATTCATGGGAAACTTGAGTGGATTGCTTGGACAGTTTTTAGGAAATACATTATATTACGGGGGTTTTTGCTCCCTTTATTTCAGATGTGGTTCATGAACCTGGGTAGTAGTTGAGTACTGGGAAGAAATAACTTGAGATGAGGTGGATATTTCATGTTTTAGAGTTGGAGTGTATATATGCGTGTGAGACCTTTGAGGTCTTTCCCTTGAACTGTCCGGTCCTAGCCCAGTCTCGGTTCAGGGAATTTCTCCTTCCTTTGCCTCTGAGCTGCCAGGAGCATCAATAAATGCTTTGACTTGGCTTTGGGCTCCAGTCAACAGCAACGTCAGTGAGTGACTAATTAACAGCTGTAAGGTCAATGATGTTGCTGCATTGGATCACTCTGTGTTTACTGGTTTGGTTCTTCATTTACTTGGGTCCTTGGGTCCTTCCAGTTGGACCTTGATGTAAGAGAAGGGTGGAGGAGGCACTTTCTCAGACTCCTTTTTCTTAAAATCTATCCCAGGACCCTTCCTTGTAAAACCTGGGACCCAGAGGCTTTTGTAGGTTTCTTTATTTTCCCTGCACCAAAATAAAGCCGTTTGTCAATTGCAAAACATTGTAAAAATTCCAGGGAAACTCCTTTATAACAAATCCCCGTGCAGTGGAGTGGAAGGTACTATGTGTAGAAGATGCTATGACCCATTTCTTTTGTGTGCTTTGAGAAAGCACAGTGGTCAAGTCTGCATGTCAGCCTCACCTTAAAGGGAGGGTTTTAAACAAGGCAATGGTTGGTGTTTTCCTCAGTACTCTGCAGATGCTGTTAAATTTTTTAAAAATTCCTTAGCCCTTAAGTTAGATTGCTGATTTAAAAATTTTCCCTGAGATATATGTTTATTGGAGTTGTTCTTTTCACTTTTAAAGACATTTGTTAAAAGGAAACAAGTTTTATTTTTTTCCTCTTTAAATGTGATGTATTTTAAAGCATATTTTCTCCCCAGGATCTTCCCTAGACTTCAGCATCACATAATAAGTTGTGCCCATTTCGTTTACATTGAGGTCTTCACACATTTCATTGTTTAGAAAAATTACGGGGAAAATGCTAATAATAGTATGGGGATGTTTGCTGTCAATAGCTCAACAGTCTGGCTGCAGATGGACAAAGGCTAAGATTAATTTTAAAATGCAATCTGGGGACTTCGTGTAGTTTGCACGATTGGACTCCAGGCGCAAGACATCCAGCCTGCCGGCCATTTGTGATCAGAGGGGCTCTGGGTCCTCACAGCGGTGCTTCTCCTATGTGACTGGTTCTAACCACCCTTTCCCTTTCCTTTTGTTTCTGATCTGTTTCAGGACATGGAGGAGTGAATCAGCTTGGGGGGGTTTTTGTGAATGGACGGCCACTCCCGGATGTAGTCCGCCAGAGGATAGTGGAACTTGCTCATCAAGGTGTCAGGCCCTGCGACATCTCCAGGCAGCTTCGGGTCAGCCATGGTTGTGTCAGCAAAATTCTTGGCAGGTAAAGGCAGGAGCTCAAGGCTTCCCTTGATCTTTCAAATAAAGACCTGAAACAGGACCCAGCAGCTGTCCAATATGACAGTATCATAGTGAGAATCATGACGGCATTTTGTTTCACACGCAGAGCGCTTTAGAGTTTGCAAAGCCCCAATTCCAAGTAGCCCTGGGAAACCCCTGTCTCTAGTGACATGTGGAATAGGGTGACTTAGTCAGGAGGGTTGACATGTTTTCTGAAAGCCTGGTGAATTGTTCTAAAGAACTCAAGAGAAAGACGTTCTTGGGAATTTCCCTTATATATCCTAGGCGAGGCCGGGTCCCTGAGTAGGACTGGTTGGAAAATCCTTAATATCACATAACCAGAGTTCAGTGTTTCATTTTAATGTTTTTGAAAGCATATTCCACTTTAAAAGTCAGCCATTACTTTCAGTTTTGGGTTATTATCAACCTTGTTATGTTGGGCTGCAGTATTTTCCTTCTCTATGTTTTTATTTCCATTGTAGTGACAAGCATCCAAAATATATGTTAAATTAGAGAGGAGGGAAAAAAAAAACCCAAACACCAACTTTCAAATGTGACATTTGAAAGTTGCCACTTGACCTGGTGATTTGCTGCAAACAAAATAGTAACAATGAGGCTTCTCCCATAGGGCCATGCAGCCTTTTAGCACTCCTGTTTATTTTCTCAGTGGCCTCCGCATGATCCAATGAAGCACATTTTAAGATGAGAAAACAAACCTAGAGCGGCAAAGTGACTGACATAGGTTTATCTAGTCAGGCAGTACCTGGGTTGTGATGACGCCTAAAGGACTCCTAGACCATGTGGGTCTCACCATACCCCCGAAACAAAGCCACAGATTTGTTTCTGGGCATGAGATCTTGTTTTAGGTCTGCCCTGGCAGGCAGGAGCTTTCTTGGGTTTAGCTGTTCAGTGCTTTCTCACTATTTCTTTCCCTGGGTCAGAAAACAACCTTTGTCCTGTAACTTGCATTATGGTTTGAGCACAGACGCCTGAATAGGAAATAAATATTTTGAAGTATGTCAGTGACATTGTGACTTTCTGCTGGCTCCTTCCCTTTCATCTGCTGGAATTCAAGAAATTCTCTCAGATGGAAGGAGCAACAGCTTCTAATAACCTTGGGGAGGCTGCTTGCTTGAGGCCAAGGGAAGAAGTTTTAGGACCAGCGGTCTGGCAGCTCCTTTGGGGACCTTGATCCCAGGGTTCATTCCTCATCCTTCAGCCCAGTGCAGGTTACCTGAGCTGTGGGGGCTGTGGGCTTCACTCCTGTTTAGCACTCAGAAAGCAAATGAACCCCAGAGTTAGGGGGCGATTGCAGGACATTAGCACGGTTTTCTTGTTAGATGGTTGTTTTAGGCAGGCGGATGGGAGCCAGAGAAGAAAAGTAGAAGACAGAGAGATAGAGAAAAGAAAAAGAGAAAAAGAAGACAAAGAGAAAAGAGAGTGATTTTTAAAAGGCAGAGAAATAGAAAGAGAGATAAATGACAAGACAGGAGAAAGGGAGAGAGAGCACAATATTTTAGACTATCTCAGCATCAGACTTCTAAAGCCAAAAGGCTCCTAGATATCTTTTTGTGGAGCCTCTTCATTGTACCGAGAGAGAGAGAGAGGGAGAGAGAAAGAAGCCCTTTCCTTTGTTTTTGCTGAGACATCTTTGCTGAGCCGACATTTTGCTCGCTGTTTGAAATCTCAGGGCAAGATACTGAGCCTTTTTCAGAGGGGACATCCAAACACGGGGTCCTCATGTTCTGGTGCTGTGGAGCCTCCAAATCTCCCATGGAGACTGAGGGGGACAGGGACCCTTCCAAGCCCAGCCGGCAGCCTCCCATAGCCAGAATAGATTTGTCATTAGGTAGAGTGGCACTCGGAAGTTACGCGCCGCTCCGGTGCCTGGCCGTTTAAGTTGTCAACAATAAATTGGAATTTCATAGCTCATTATTTTCATAACTAAGAACCACAGTGGACAAAATGTCACTCTAATTAGAACTGCCTTTTAAGAAACAAGTTCAGCCCTAAAACAGTGTAACTGGAAATTTCTGAACTGGGGCCGTTCAATCCACAGATTTTTTTTTTTTTTGGTCACCAATGAATTTGATGGGCACACGAGAGGTGACAGATTGTAGGAAGAGTGCGATGTGTGGTGGCTATGGTTTTCAGAGTGTGTGGCAAGGCAGGCAAAGTCCCTGGGGCACACAGGGACCCCTGTCATCTCAGGAAGGTGGGCGGTCTGCCAGGAGTGTGGGCATTCAGTCTACAGAGCTCAAGCCTTCGGAGGGGCTTGAGAGGCACAGCACAGTGGCATCTGAGGCCGAGTTAAATTCACCCAGGGCCTGGCTGCTGTCTTTTTTCACTGGAGCCTGGTTGAGAGGTTCAGGTCATTGGAATTGGGTGGTAGGTTACACAGTAATAAGAAACACTAGGGATTTTAATCCCCTGCACGTGCTCTTTATTTTATGTTTTGCAAAGCTTGTTCTCAACCGTCTGTATTTTTGTCTTCAAAACAGCCTCACAAAGCAAGCAGGGCAAACATTCTTCCCCTATTGTATAAATGGGAAAATTGAGGCCTAGAGAGGCTAAGTAAGTTGGCTAAGATCACACAGAGAGTTAGCGTCAGAGCCACCTACACCTCTTGACTGCTAAACTAATGCTGTTTGCACTGAAGGACATTGTGTGTTGGTGACTGCCGTTCGTCTTTTGTCTGTAAGCCAAGGGGCTGCACGGCTGTTTTGCTGAGATGAAAGGATAGTTATTAAATCTGAATCCTCATTTGACACAGTTTCGAGTTGGGGTTTCGGGATTGTCAGGGTTGCCTTCCAAGTGCCTGGCCCATGTGTCAGTCAAAAAGACGACGGAGATCTCTCATGTTAAGGCCGCAGCCTTCCACAGTTGGCACTGCTCAGGTGGGATGGGCAGGTAGCCCTGTGTGCTGCCGCCCACCAGCCATGTAAGTTGGGGCTGGGCTGGGGGGGGGCCTTTAGCCTGCCACCCTCTCAGATTTGCTATGTGAATGTTGCAGTCCCATTCAACTAACATATTTTGAGTATCCAGAACAGGGTTGTCTAAATGTCCGTAACCCCTTCCCTGAGATTCTGCCTGTCCTAACAGACACTCGGTGACTATTGAGTGAGTGAATGAATGAAAAATGCATGTGAAAATGCCTGGCCTGGTAAATAGTAAAGTTCTTGGCAATTGCAAGGGATCATTATTATTATTATTATTTAAAATTTTATAAGCAAAGCAGCAGCTTGCTCTAGCGGGAAGAGCACTGAATTTAGAGTCAGGTTTGAAAGTTGGGGCTGTCCCTAACTATAGAAGGGAGTTAGGCAAGTCACTTAGTCTTCTGATCATTTATTTTTCCTTCTATAAATCCCTGTGGCCTTGCAGGGTTAGTGTGAGGATCAAGATAATTCGAGGAAGAGCTCTGTAAACTACAGGGCGCTGTGGCTGAATTATAATTAGTTGTGTTATAGTAAAAATTGACTTTACATTATAAAATTGATAGTACAATTGGAAGCTGCAGAGATTGCTGTGTGCCTTGATTTAGGGTGCTTTTCTAGACTTCTGGCTTTTTTGGGATATTGTTAAAAAGTTGTTTGTGAGTAATAACTTTTTGGCAATTACAGGAAAATTGCTGAAAGCAATTGTTTAGAAAGAGGGAAGATAGGTTGAGTTTTTGCCTTATGGTCAAAATTTGCAAATGACTCACTCTTTTCAATGAAAAACAGACATTTCACTATCACATCACTGCTTCCAAATTATTTCATCTCTTTTAGGATATTCACTAACTTGGCCTTACCCAAACTTACCCAGGCTGAGAATTTCAGCATCTCTATAAATGTGACCAGGAATCTTGGGTAACATTTTCTACCCATCTCAGAATCACCTCGTTCCCTTGCCTATCATCAACTCTTGTGAGGTTTGAAAATTACTAGTCATTTAAAAAATGTCTTTTTGGTTTTTTAAAAAAGATTCAACTGCAAGTTAATTTTCTTGGAAAAGGAAATCAAGAATTCTTCTGTAAATATTGAGAGAGACATCCAGGGATGGCTCAGATTCAGAAAAGGAATCATGTCATTTTTTTTTTTTTTTCCCGCCTGAAATGATCTTTCATGGCACTCTTCTTCTTGGTCTCGGTTTTACTGTAAAATCCTGACATCCTATTTTCCTTAATGAGCAAATGCTGATAGCATGGAAATGTCCTTAGAAACAGCCATTTACCTCAGGGGAGGTCCCTGGAAGAGTTGCTGTGACTTGTGGTTGGTTTTTCCGATTGCTTGGGTTTTGACTTACAACACGTATTTTCAGATAATTCTGCAATTCAACATTCCTTTTAATTTTACACCAAGATTATTATTTTTCTCTTATGGAAAAATAAGTTGCATTTCAGGGGATAGTTTCATACAATGCTGGAGATTGTGCTAGGGCTTAGAAGAGCTGGCAAATCAAAGGTGTAAGGTACCTTATTGGGGAAATTTTAGTTCAGGAGGCTGGGCCACAGCCCTGGCTTGCCCATTTGGTCTTGTGTGACCCTAGGAAAACTGTTTAACCTTGATGAATCTCTGCTTTATACCTGTAGGTCAGGACCTTTTCATTTATTTGTTCATTCACTCATTCATTAATTCAAAGCAATTTATGTACTTTAGAACTGTGGGAGATAAAATGGGAAAACTGACTCAAAAGTTTTCTGTAAACTATAAAATGGTAGATCAATGTGAAAGAATTTTGTTAATGCTTAGCCAGTGCTGTCCAAAAGAAATACAATGAGAGACTGGCCGGGCGCGGAGGCTCATGCCTATAATCTCAGCACTTTGGGAGGCCAAGGCAGGCGGATCACCTGAGGTCAGGAGTTTGAGACCAGCCTAACATGGCAAAACCCCGTCTCTACTAAAAATACAAAATTAGCTGGGCGTGGTGGCGCATGCCTGTAATCCCAGCTACTCGGGAGGCTGAGGCAGGAGAATCACTTGAACCCAGGAGGCAGAGGTTGCGCCATTGCACTCCAGCCTGGGCAACAAGAGCGAAACTCCATGTCAAAAAAAAAAAAAAAAAAAAGAAATCCTATGAGAGCTGTGTATGCAATTTAAAATTTTCTAGTAGCACATTAAGAAAAGTAAAATAAAAAGAGGTATTATATTTTAATTATATATTTTATTTAACTCAATATATAAAAATGGTTATTTCAACATATAACTTAATATCAAACATTCAACATACTATCAAAATTATTGAGATATTTTACGTTTTTTTGGTACTGTTTTAAAAATTCGGTGCGTGTTTTATATTTACAGCACATCTTGATTCAGACTAGCCATATTTCAAATGTTCAAAAGCCTCATCTGGCTGGTGGCTACTGTATTGTACTGTATTGGAACGTGCAGATCCAGACGATTCCTGGACCAAGTAGCCCATTATTTTGTTGCCAACATCCACTTTACTGGTTCCTCATGGCTAAGCTTCCTTCTCTTTGGGTCCTAGGTATTATGAGACAGGAAGCATCAAGCCTGGGGTAATTGGAGGATCCAAACCAAAGGTCGCCACACCCAAAGTGGTGGAAAAAATCGCTGAGTATAAACGCCAAAATCCCACCATGTTTGCCTGGGAGATCAGGGACCGGCTGCTGGCGGAGCGGGTGTGTGACAATGACACCGTGCCTAGCGTCAGTTCCATCAACAGGTGAGGAGCTTGTGCCTGTGGGGGCTGGGGATTTGGGGGGATGGCAGGGTGTTCTGGAGGCTCTGCATGTGCCTTTCCTGAAGATCTGGTCTCTCTTTTCACCAAAGCCCCTTAGGGGTTACTGAACAGGAGAGATGCTAATGGGGCCCACTGGGTCTCTGTTACCCTTCTCTTCTTCTTTCCAAAGTGGGTAGGAGTCCTAGGCCCAGGGAGAGGGGAGCATGCCCACACTCTGGCTGCTCGAGGTTCTTCTGAGCCCAGAGTTATTTCTATCCCTCCCTTTACCACCCACCTATATGTGTGGAACACTTCGCAGTGAATTGTCCTGACTAGGCCTTCACAAATGTTGCTGTCCCTGTAAACCTAGGCTCAAGGTCTTGGCACTGGCCCATCTCAAAGGTTCCCAGGAAGAAAATCCTGCCTCCAGTTTGGGCGGAGCTTGAGCCAGTGAGTGAGGGGAACATAGCTCTGACTTGAGTTGGGAGACTTGGCTCCTTGTTCCAGCTCTGCCACAAACTCGAAGTGGGACCTTGACAAGGCTCTTCCATTCTCCGAGAGCCCAGAACCCCAGTGGTTCTGATGTGCGTCTTCAACTCCAGAGGTGTTGTCCAGGATGCTAAGATGCTCTGGAGCAATGGAGTTATCCTTTTCCCAACTCACACATGGAATCTTACACATGGAGAGAAAGAACCAGAGAAACACCCTGGGTGTCATGCACAAGATCTTCCTGGGAGCCACACAGCTCCCTTTCCTTTCCAGTCTGATCCAAGATACATGGAAGGGTGCTCTCAGAGCTTTAAAAATAAACGTATGGAAGAAAGTTTTCTGTTGTAGATGATGCAATCTCAACTCCATTTAAACCCACAGAGTTAGGAATGAAGTTCAGAGATGAACAGAAATGATGGTTCTCTAAACTCTGCAGAGAAAAGAGAAGGCAGCAGCCTGGAAACCTGGACAGTTTCCATTTCTCCAAATCACACCCTACCATCATCAGTGCAGAGCTTGTGTGGGCATAGAGGACCCTCACTCCTGGCAGAAAGAGGTGGTCGGTCAGACTAGAGTGAGAGCCTCTTGTCCTGATAGTGGATCCTTCTGTGATGACTCAAATGCACAGATCGCCGTGGGAGTGCATGTGTTCACATTTTGAGTCCTGCTATTTTGTAAATGGTTAGCCTGTTTTTCTTCTCTTGGCAAACCTTTACAGAGGCCCTGACATCATGCACGGTGCAGGGGAAATAGAGGAGAATCAGGCACACAGTTTCTTGGTCTGTTCTGGAGGGGCTCTTTGTCCAGGGTGGGGTTCTGACATGCACTTAGAAGCCTGATGCACCTGGACAAACTTACTGAGGAGGTAACAATGATGATGGTAGGTTTTAGGGAAGAGGGGATAACTCCTGTTCTTTTTTCTGGATTATAAGAGGCTCCAGTGTGTTTTATGAGCCCCATACTTCTGGCTCTTTGCAAGATTTCCATGACACAAAACAACATGACAGGCAGCTGGCCTGCTCTGCAGAGGAACATCAGCCAAACCCCTGGTCAGGCTTTGGGGACCCACAGGTTTCCCAACGTAGAGTACACATATAATCAGCGGTTTGCAAGATAACCTTAGGTAGTCCATGGGGGTCACAAAATCTAATGCCTTACATGGGGCCAGGCAGATAAGGTAATGAGGGAAGCAGGCCAGCCATAAGATGATGGGGAGAGGTTGGGTCCCTGGCAAGCTAGACAGCACAAGTTCTATTAAAGGAGCACTGCTTCTTAGCTCCAGCCGAATGCTGCCAGGAACATGGGTCCAGTGTTTGCCAGATTTTTTGCATTCTTCAAGAGAAGGCAGAAGCTGGGGCTTGTGTAGATGTATGTATGTATATTTCTGTATATGAAATCTTTATATTTAAATTATTATTATTATTTTTTTTAGAGATGGGGTCTCCCTATGTTGCCCAGGCTGGTATCGAACTCCTGGGCTCAAGCAATCCTCCTATCTCAGCCTCCCAAAGTGCTGAAATTACAGGTGTGAGCCACCGCACCTAGCTTAATCTATATTTTTTTAATGGAGGCAACTAATTTCAATGAAAAATGCCTTGAAGGATGAGCATAACTTATTTACAGAGCATTGGTTTACATCCCCTATAATGCAAAGATGCAAGGATTCACATTGTTTTGTAATACATTTATTTTAATGTATTTTAGAAAAATGTAAGTAACATGCTAAACCAGTGAGTTTGTGAACTTTGTGAACGCCCCCTCAACACTCCCACCTACCCACTTACAGTAGGGAACTCTAATTGCCTTACACAATAACTTTATTTAAGTCAAAAATGAAGTGATGTGAAAGAAATGTATGAGGCAAATAGAGCAGTGGTTACAAATAGAGCTGCGAAGGGGCATGGGATATGTGGTCAGGAGAGATCACTGACCCACTGATGCTTTCTGCCTGGACTTGTGCTGTGGGGAGGTTCTAACTGCTGGCTGCAGGACCATGGCTAGCCTCAGGGGCGTCCTGGGTGTGCTGTTCAAAGCCATGGCCAGGCAGTCTGTGCCGCTAAGGTGCTTTCACGTCTGTGGTCTCCTATAGTTCTTAAGGCTTGACTCTATCCTGTGGCAGGTGTAGCAACAGAGGCCAAGGTGGAGAGTGCAGAGAACAGTGACTTGGAGATAGACATGGGGGTAGAACCCAGGTTTCCCGATCATAAGAGGAGGGCTAGTTTCTTTCCACCACCGTCCTGTAGGACTCTGCGAGTGACAGAACTGAGGGTCTGTGAGACGAGAGACAAGGGGGAGGACAAGTATTTTCTTCTCCATTTCAGAGCCTCGCAGGCTACCCGTTCTGCCGCCTGGCTGCCTGCCCTCTCTCATCCTTAGCCCTTTCCAGTGCTCCTCGCTGGGGGCTTCTTTTTGGGAGTATTCTCTGGCTCCTTCCTGTTGTCTTCAGTGACAGCTCACTAAGTGTAGGACAATCTCATGTGGCTGCCTTCCCCACCCCCAACCCCCCAAAGCCAGAGCCATCCCAGCATACAGTTTTATTTTTCAGATGAAGGCAAAGCTCCCACTGCATTCAGATGAATGCAGCTTCTAAACGCCTGCCTTGCAAATGACACTGTGTAAGAGGGTTCACAGCTCTCCCAGCCCCTGCCTCCCTCGGAGGCAACTTTTCACTCTTCCTGATTTCAAACAGCTGCGGAGGAAGTGATGGCTGGATTTGTGGCTATTCTCATAGCCACAGGGGCGTCTCCATGGTTCAACCCTAGGAGTATGTGCCTTCCTGTTATCTTCCAGGGCACCAACCTAAACCATGACTGACAAAGAGGTTGAGCATCACTGAACTAGTTCTGTTAGGCTGGTGGGGGATTTCCTGGGACATAGATCACCTTGTTCATTTGACTTCTTATGGACAAACATGTGCTGGGAGGCTGCACAACCTGCAGGGATCGCTGGAATCCAGCCTGAGTGTCCACTGGAGGTGGCCATCCCAAAGCTGACCCAAATGGTGGGTGGAATGGGGTCTTCCTTCTTCTATTCCAGAACCGTGGCCAAAGGGTGGGGACTACAAGTGGCACTCCCAGTTTAGAGAAGCAGCTCTGTTCAGCCTTTCAACTGGTTGGGTCATGTGAGAACGTGGGGCCAGTATTATTGGGTGTTCTGATTTTTCAAGAGAAGCTAGAAATCAGATATTTATGAAAAATCTCCCAACTTAAAAATATTAGCAACTAATTCAAATAAAAACAAATATACTGTAAGCAAAACTTGTCCCAGGCTGGAGGTGGCCCTGGGGAAGATGTTTTGTTAGTTCTGCTCTTAATTCTAATTTTGGTGGCAGGCCTTCTGAGATTGTTTATCCATTTCCTCTTTCTTTCTTTGTTTGTTTTTTTGAGACAGGGTCTCACTCTGTTGCCCAGGCTGGAGTGCACAGGCGCAATCATGGCTCACTGCAGACTTGATCTCCCAGGCTTGGGTGATCTTCCCACCTCAGCTTCCCATGTAGCTAGGACTACAGGTGCCACCACCATGCCTGGCTAATTTTTTGCATTTTTTGTAGAGATGGGGTTTCATCTTGTTGCCCAGGGTGGTCTCGAACTCCTGGACTCAAGCGATCCACTCACATTGACTTCTATCTGTGTCCTCTTTCTTCTCCACAACAGTCACAGGCCTGGATGCCACCTGTGGGGCCCCTCACAGCTTGGAACAGTTGGACCCCTGGGTTTTGGATTCTCAACTTCTTACTGCATTGGTGGCAATTTGATCAGTGCCATAGATGTGGGTGTTTCTTCAGCCTTATTTTCATGTTTCCTTTTTCAAGGCACCATGATTTTCTCTTTCACTGTAATTTTGTGAGGACTGGCGGTGGGGCGGGGGGCGTGGGATGATGGTGAGAAGCCTAGCCTTTCAAAGAAGGAAGAGTGATGTTTCCATGGGATCCTTAAATGCCACAAAGTCCCTCAGAGTTTTAAACCTCAAATTCTAAGTGGGTTTGAAATCCAAATAACCTTTATGCCTCACATAGGAAGTATTTAGCAGAGGGACCGAGCTTCCTTTGAATGTGGCTTAAAGTAAAATGCTGGGGCATGGGAGCTGGGAGTCTGGGCTGACTCGCTGCTGTGCAACTCTGGGCAAGTCATTTGAGCATCATGGGCCTTAGTTTCCTCATCCATAGGAAGAGTTTGATGCTGAGCTCCCTTCTCTCTTGGACAGTGTAGTGTGCTCTGCAGTACGGCAGCCGGGATCCTGCTCACGCTCAGCAGGTAAAGGATGTGCAGTTTGGTGTGACCGCCAACTCAGCCCAACCGTCTCTGGCTTAGGAAAGGTCCTGAGTGTGCTCTCATTGGATGAGTCTTGACAGCCTGTCATTTAAAAAATTTTAAATTTGTTTAGAGTTGCTATGATTCAATTACAGTCTTGTTCTTCCCACTACAGTTTCTTCTCGGTGGAAGCTGATGCTCTTTGTTTTTACTCGGTGACTGCTAAAGGCAGATGAGCAAAATCTCTCACCCCTGGGGGCGGCTTCAGAAGCTTCCCTGTAACTCTGAGATCCCCCTTTATAAAGAACAGCCCGGCTGCAGCCTTAAAACAGAGTGTGAGAATGGTTACCTTCCCCTCCCCAGCTTCCAAGGGGACCACTTGTGCTTTATTATCATTATTATTAATTTTTATCGGTGCATAGTAGGTATATATATACATATATTTATGGGTACATGAGATATTTTGGTACAGGTATGCAATGAGTCATAATCCCACCATGAAAAATGGGGTATGCCTCGCTTCAAACATTTATTCTTTGTGTTACAAACAACCCAATTACACTCTTTTATTTTTAAATGTACAGTTAAATTATTACTAACTATAGTCTCCTCTTGTGCTATCACATACTAGGTCTTATTCATTCTTTCTATTTTTTTGTACCCATTGAGCATCTTCACTCCCCCACCGCCCTCACCTTGTGCTTTTTAAAGCAAATGTGAAAAATATGAACATTTTAGGACTGCAGCTAGTCATTAATCTTTACAAAGACACCACTGAAAATAACATCTTACATTTATGGAGCACCTAGTATGTAGCAGCCACTGTTTTAAGTAATTAATTGATTTAATCCTAATAGTAACCCTATGAGATAGGAATGATTCTTAGTCCCATTTGCAGATGAAGAGACTGAGGTACAGAGAGGTTGAGTAATTTACCTAAGATCACGTAGCCGGTCAATTGCCAGAGGACTGGAATTCAAACTCTAGTGGTCTCTAGTTCCAGAGCCTGTACACTATGCTACTGCTGCCTCTTAATGACCTATAGCAATTAATAATGCTTTCCAGTCATATTTATAACATTTTAAAAGAAAATGAGGAAAACATAATTTTCTTTGCTTTGTTTAACATACAAATTTAGTAGCCAGGCAATGATTTGAAAAGTAAGGATTTTAAGCTGAATTACAGTGGCTTTTATTTTTGCCATATATTTATATGTAACTATATTTATGTCTGGTATATCCATATATTGACATATCCAGCAATATCTCTGTAGACACACACACACACAGACAGTGATATACACAAAAATGTAAACATTAGATCAGATGCCAACCTACTTCCAGGTGACTGAAAAGACAACCTCACTCCCAGAACTTTGTCCAATATGCTTCGAGTTTGCTTAGTTAAAATAAGTGGTTTGAATATTAGGGAAAACAAACCAACAATCTGAATTTATTTGAGGGAACATTTAAGCTGACTGATTAGAAAAGGGCAAGAGGCTCCTTGCTAAGCTCAAGTAGCCAGGCTCCAGATGACCTGCGTGTGTGGTGAGACTATAGGGTGAACAGAAAAGTCCATTCCCAGGCTATCAGCCGAGGACACGGAGTGCCCTTGGTGCCCAGCACCAAGCTGTAAGATCGGAGAGGGCAGAGGCTACTGCCCATTAAGTTTAAGGGGAGGCACCCACCTGTTACTTCTGTCCTTCTTCTTCATTTGTACAAGCTGGAGACCCAGTGCATCCTCAGAATAAACTTTCAGATATTAATGGTCTGGAATGTGAAAAAGCTTCTGATAGAATGTTGCATGAAAAGCGCAAGATGCAAAACTGTATACATGGAGGCTGGGCGCGGTGGCTCACGCCTGTTATCCCAGCACTTTGGGAAGCTAAGGTGGGCGGACGATTTGAGGTCAGGAGTTCGAGACCAGCCTGGATAACATGGTGAAACCCCTTCTCTACTAAAAATACTAAAAATACAAAAATTAGGTGGTGGCATGCGCTTGTAGTTCCAGCTACTCTGGAGGCTGAAGCAGGAGAATCACTTGAACCCAAGAGGCAGAGGTTGCAGTGAGCCAAGATTATGCCACTGCACTCCAGCCTGGGCAACAGAGAGAGACTCCGTCTCAAAAAAAAAAAAAAATTGCTGGGCATGGTGGCGTGTGCCTGTAATCCCAGCTACTTGGGAGGCTGAGGCAGGGGAATCACTCAAACCCAGGAGGTGGAGGTTGCAGTGAACTGAGATCGCACCACTGCACTCCAGCCTGGGCAACAGAGCAAGACTCTGTCTCAAAACAAACAACAACAACAAAAAACTGTATACATGGCAAATCCTGATTTTGTTAAAAGAAAAATGGGTATTTCTAAATATGCCCAGGAATGTTGGTATAAAGGAAATACACCAAAATATGTTTTTTAGATGTCTTCTTTATACTTTCCCATGCTGTCCAAAGAGTCTACAATGAACACATACTACTTTTATAATGAGGAAAAACTCTAATAAATGTCCTTTCAAAAGGTAATAGTTTGAGACTGGAATAGAACTTTCCCAAAGAAACTGGACATTTTATTATGACCCACTCTTCTCCCAAATGCCAAGGAAGGAGCTTTCTGGTAGATCCCAAGGAGCTTTTGACGTGGCCCTGTTCTGCTGCTCTCAGATGCTCCGGGCTTGCGGTCTTGCACATGCATTGTCCTTGCTGGAAGTCTACAGACTCCCCAGAGCCTAAGGTTCTGCAGAAGAATGTTAGAGCGGTCAGGTGGCCAAGGGAAGGCAGTACTGCTATTATCTCTTTTATGTACAGGGCTTTTCCATAAGATCTTTTTTCTTTTCCAAAAATGATTCGATTACTTAAAATAAGTAGAGTGGTCTGTTCCAACTCCGTCATTGTATCGAGGTCCACAATGGAATGGACTTGGTCAAGGTCACAGTGGAGTTTCTATTAGAATGTGAGCAAGGTCTCTGAAAAGACAGGCCAGGATATCACTGGCTCCAGCCCTGTGGATCCTTTCCATGAGGTCTGGGGCAAGGTAGGCTTCCTCTTAAGAAAGCCAAATCAGATGTCTCCTGGCAGCACTTTGATCCTCCCTAGTATCAGAACAACACATACATCCCTCCCTTGGCAACTTCCTAGGGGAAGGGGTGTTATCCCTTCTTATGTGTTCTCTAGGGCAGAGAAACCAGCACACGAGCACTGCCAGAGGACAGGGAGGTTACCTAGTTCAGTTCCTTCATTCCACAGATGGGAGGCTGAGGTCTAGGGAAGGGAAGGACTCCCTAAAGTCAATGAGTCTGTTATGGAGCTAGAGCTATACTCGAGATAGGGATGCTTACTTGTAATGTTAACACATCGTCCTCTTTCTTCAGAAAAGGCACTTGAAGCCCAGAGATAGGGTGCAAATTATACAAAGACACCCAGGAAAACAGAAGCAAAGTTGGGACTAGTCCATAAACCTTCCATCCTCCAGATTCCAAGCCTGGGTTTATAATCTCCCTCCACCTCTGCCCCTCTGCCTCAGCTCGATCCATGGCCCAGTTTGGGTATGAGTTTTCTGGTTGTCTGTGCATAGCTGGTTGAGGTCTCTTCTCCTTCCTGACGGTAAATAGCCTTTTTTTTTCCAACTGCCCACAGGATCATCCGGACAAAAGTACAGCAGCCACCCAATCAACCAGTCCCAGCTTCCAGTCACAGCATAGGTAAGAGGAACTTTTAAAAAAAATTTAAAAATCTAATGGGCTCCAAATATTCTAAAGAACTTTTAATCATTCTTATGGACAGATAATTCTGCATAAAACACTTCAGCACACGTACTAATGCGCCTTCTTTGTCATTCTCCAAGGGCTGAACCTGGTAAATGAATTTTATAAATACTGCTAAAAGGTTTTGAATTTTACTGATTATTATGATAAATAGCTTTCACCATGAGACAGAAAATTGAAATCTAAGCCAAAAAAAAAAAATCCACTAATGGGGGTCTATAGAATGTCAGATAATTAAAGTAATAAATCAAGAAAGGGATACTTATTCATAACATTTTCTGCATCATTAGTCAGTAAGTAGTTTTGAATGTGTTTTTTTCTTCTATCAACCAGCCCTTCTACAATTCTTTGTGCACTTGCAGTCTTGAGTGAAGATGTGGCAAAAGTTCCCAAACTTACTTTCTCTCTCTCTTGCTTCGATCTCATGAACTCTGTGAACTGTCAAGGGCTGCCAGTGGGGTTTCCGGCGCTCACAGGTGACGTCTGGAGTGGCCGTGACCCAACAGAGGAGTCATACTTCTTAGTGCTCAAGAGTTCAGAAATGTCCTTTGTCTTCCCTTCAAAGATTGTGAAATGACACGTGTCTATTTAAGGTGTATTATTTCTCCACTTGGGATACAAGATACACCACTGGTTAGCTGGGGGAAAAGTTATTGTACTATATAAGGAAGTGGGCAATGATTCAGCAAGTCTCTGACACTTCTGGTTGCCACAGTCAATCCTGTAGAATCACACCTCAGATTGTATAACATTTTCACACTTTTGTTACTCCTTCTTTAATTGAAAACTTGAACTCACACGGTGATGGGGAACGGGCAGAGGCCTGGCCTCTGGTTCCAACTCTGTCAGTAACTCACCCAGTAAAATGTAAAAGTCCTCTCACCTCCCTGAGCCTCAGTTTCCTCATTTGTTGATGGAGGGGCACTAACCAGGTGCTCGCTGAGGCCTCTGATCCTCCATGGTTGGCTCTTTGGATAAAGGTAAGACAGATTTCCTCCCTGCCATGAAATAATTCCTCATTTAGTAATCCCTTCAGAAAGTGTCTGCTAAGTCCCTGTGGTGCAGACCTTGGCATCAGAGGCCAAGCCTATAAGAAAGGGAAGACACGATCCCCATTCTCAAGGTAAAGGGGGAATATAATGAAGAGAAGTTTGCAAAACAGAGATGAAGCTCAAGAAGAAGGGATGGGTGCCGTGGGGGCAGAAGGGAAGGAAGCACCAGCTGTGTTGGGCTAAGGTGAAGAGGGTGAAGGAAGGCTTTCTGGGGGAATATTTGTGGCTGAGATTTCACTTGTAGCTGACCAACGATTTCAGGTCACATAGCACTGAAAATCAGATAGGTGTAACTGCTAATATTCTTTCATTTGGTTTAGAGGAATAATTCTACTGTAGGTCAGCAGCATGTTTTGTTCTGTTCCAGAAATTTTTAAATCAAACTATATCTCGCATACATATAGCCCCTTAGAGTTCACAAACTTACCGAGAAGTGATGAAACTGAAACTTAGAGAGATGAAATAACTAGCCCTAGGTCATGTTGCCGGTAAGTGGTGGAGCCAGAAGTGGAATCTGGGTCTTTTGAGCCTAGAGCAATCACAAAACACCAAAATGAATGTCATGGGCTCTGCCAGCAACATGATGAGCCTTGGTTACACATGGTGGTTGTTGTTTAAAGTACCAAGTGACTTGGGATCTTCTTTCTTCCTCTGTTTTTTACATGTTAATACAGAAAAGGTTGTGGGATTTGCATAAATCTATTTTAAGGAGCTTCTTCTGGTGAAGAAAAAGAGAAGTTAACAATTTCTGCTTCTGTGTCTCTTAAGGAAGATGTAAGATCAAACTGAAATGTAAGAAGAAAGGCATGGCTCCCTCTAGGTTTGTAGGAGCCAGGAGCTGGATCTGCTCCAAAGGGAAGCCATGAAGAGCTTCTCAGGCAGTCACCGCCATTTCTAGTGATTTCCTACTCTTAAGAGTCAAAGGTGGCTCCACCTGCCTCCAGCTGGTTATAGCCCAAGGAAGTGTGTCTGAGATTGGTCTGTAGGTTTTAATGAACCAAGAAAGAATTCCCACAGCCCAGAAATGGCAATTCAGCTGTATAGCTAGAGAGGCCCCTGCTGATGGACTGATCTCTCCCTAGGATTCTGGGGCCAGAAGTTAATGTGAAACTTGCACAAAAGTTGCCCCCTGCCTCCCATCCAATTCTTATTCTTAGGAACTTTGAGACCTAGCCTCAGTCACAGTAAGTCACCAACCACTGCCCCTGTCTCTGGGTAGGGGAAATGTAGACTTTAAGTAAGTAAACCCAAGGCTAAGTTCTGATGTCGCTGTTTATTAGCTAGATGACTGAATCACTTTCCCTGTGGAGCCTCAGTTTCCTCATTTGATAAATGGGGATAAATAATAGCACTCTGGGCTGTTGCAATCATCAAATGAAAAGTACTGCATTCATGTGAAGTATATTATTGCTCTTCATTATTTATTAGTGAGAAGCAGATTAGTTATAGGGATTAAGGCTTTAGTCTCTGGGTTCAAATCGCCACTCTGTGTCTTTTATTTTTTATTTTTACTTTTGAGACAGGGTCTTGCTCTGCTGCCCTGGCTGGAGTACAGTGGCACAATCATAGCTCACTACAACCTCGACTTCCTGGGCTCAAGTGATCCTCCTGCCTCAGCCTCCTGTGTTGCTGGGACTATAGGCTTGTGCCACCACATCTGGCTAATTTTTTAAAAAGTTTTTTGGTGGGTCTTGCTATGTTGGCCAGGCTGGTCTTGAACTCCTGAGCTCAAGTGATCCTCCCACGTCTGCCTTCCAAAGTGCTGGGATTACAGGCGTGAGCCCTGGCACCAGGTACTCTGCCTCTTATTAGCTGTGTGATCCTGGGTGGGCCACTTGTCTTCTCTGAGTTTTACCTTTCCAATAGGATTATCACATTTCCTAGCTTCTATTATTTTTCTCAGAATTAAATGAGATAATGCCTCAATGCCTGGCACAGAGTAAGTTCTCAGAAAATGTTTGTTATCCTTATTGTCATAATTAATATTAAAAATCAAATCCAGGGAAACTGGAAGGAGAAAAGGCAGGGAGAGAACTGTAAAAAGAAGGGGCACTCTGGTTTGGAGTTTGTTAGCTGAGCGCGTGAGTTTGCGCTCAGGTAGTTGTGTTTGCACACAAGGTTGGGTGTGCAGGCAGGTGGGGAAACGCCTAATGAGTATTCCAGGTTTTTTGTTTTTGTTTTGTTTTGTTTTGTTTTAGCACTGGCTGTTGGTGGGCCCCGGCTCCCTTCTTTCTCCTCTCCATCCCCTGCTTTCTGTATCCATGGAAAGGCTGGAATTTGAGAGAGTGCCCTTCCTGTCCCCGTGTCCCCCTGTTCCTTTCTGCAGGGGTCAGTCCTCCTCAGTGCCCACCTCTCTCCTTCCTCCCCCCAGCGCAGAGAGCTGGAGCACATGGCCCATCCGAGGCCCGCGCTGGTGGCCCCGGTGTGGCCGCCTCTGCAGGGCGAGGGTCCTCAGAACCTCCTGCCCCTCTGCACTCGCTCCCTCCCAGCCGCCCCCAGCCCCGCGTGCGGTGACAGCCTGCCCGTGGCCCTCAGCCCTCTGCGGCCCTTACAGCCCGTCTTTCTCCGCGCAGTGTCCACGGGCTCCGTGACGCAGGTGTCCTCGGTGAGCACGGATTCCGCCGGCTCTTCGTACTCCATCAGCGGCATCCTGGGCATCACGTCCCCCAGCGCCGACACCAACAAGCGCAAGAGAGACGAAGGTAAGAGAGGCCCGCGCAGCCCCGTCGGGGATGCGCCTCATGGGGTCCGTTTCGGGCGCTCGGTCGCAGGTGGCAGCAGAGGTGCCCGCGAGCACCCCCTTTACCTGCAGAAGAGCAAGCGAGTACCTCTGCCCGCACTCCGTCCTTTTCATGAACACGGGAAAGGGCTGAGCCCTCCGCAAGGGCAGACAGGCAGCAGGGTGACTGTGGCATTCTTGCTGGCCTTCCCGGTGGTCACCCCTTGGACAGAAGCAGCGGGCCTGGCAGAGCCCTTGTGGCCTGAGCTTTGGCCTTTAAGAAGACCCTGTGTGCGTGCAGATATGCCGCCCGAGGGCAGGGTGTGCTGGGCTCCACACCCAAGTCCACTTTGTGGAGAAGCTTTGGACCGGAGAGAGGGGGCTGGGCAAAGCCCTGAGAGGGGCACACGTTGGGTGGGCGGAGAGGTGGGTTCTCTGAAAGGCCCTGCACACGTCTCAGCAGAGAAGGCCTTCAGCCCTGGTGATGGTGTTGCGGGCGGTGCTGAGGAAATTAATAATCATCTCATCCTTGCCCTTGGGTCTGGAAGGAAGGAGTGCGGGGGTGTTGGGAGGGATTACAAAGATGACAATCTTCCTGGTTGGTTTTTCTCAGGCCCTCCAGGGGCTGGGCCGTGTGGTGCCTGGGTCCCCAGAGCCAGCCACCTCCGTCCTGGACGCAGGACACCTTAACCGGGGCGCCTTTCAAGCCCTGAATGGGCTGCCAGTACTGGCTGACATTAATGGGTTTGAGAGAAGAAAAGACCCCCTGGGAGTCTGTAAAACCTTAGTCAGGAAAAGGAGAAAAAAAAAACAAAAAACAGGGCTGTGGTCTAGGGCCGGAGAGCAGCGTGACAGAAATCTTGATTCAATTATTCTGTTCCTCGGCACAATTCCCTTTCTCAGCTCCGTGTAAGGGATGTGTGTTCTCGTGAGCACATGCCTAAGTACTTAAGATCTGTAACTAGAAAATTGAGTCGGCCCAGCCGTGGATTGGCCTGTGGCCTGCGTGTTGCCAGCAGTGCAGAAGCAGAGCCCGTGGCCTGGGTTTGGAACCGTGGGGGTGTGTGGGGATGATTCACGGCTTTTGGAACCTGCCTGGCCTCTCTCTTCTGCTCCTGCCGCTCCTGAGCAGATGTCAGAAGTCTTTAACTCAGTAGGCTGCGGTGCTGTGTTGCTGCAGGAGGCAGTGGGCCTGCCATCTCTGTTGGTTTATGAGCTTGATGGTGTCATCTTTTCTCCCATTGTCACCTGGACTCACAGCAGATGTGCCTAAGCTGGGGCCTGGATATATTTGTTCACGGTGGAGGGACAGATTGTGTGAGACTTCCCCGGAGGCTGAGGGATCCAGGCGGAGATTTCTGGGGAAAGAAAAAATATAGTTTGATGTTTATCACCAAACAGACAGGTTCTGGCCTGGAGGCATTATTTTACTTTGTTTTCGGAGTGCTATATTGGCTTGCAGTCTGACCAGCAGTCATGGTTTTGCCCCTCAAGCTCCTTTACAAGGTATAGCATCTTCAGAATGTGGGTGGTGTTGGTCTTGACTACTCTGTACTACTCAGATCACTCCCAGAGGACTGTGGCCCATTTGGGGGTATTGACCTTTAAGAGGGACAGTGACAAATGGGATTGTGTCCTGGATGAAGAGCGATCTGATACAGCATCTGGGACACCTTGAGGCTCTAGGGATATTTTGGCACTGTCATATGTGCAACTTGGTTCTTTTTAAACTGAGGTGAAATCACCTCTGCATCGGCCACACACTTTAACTTTAAGGCCATGCAATGAGATCTCATTCCTTCCTCCTTCCATGCCTCCAGATACTTGAAGGCAGCAATCCAGTCTCGCTTATTCTGCTTTTCTTTGTGCCAAGGTGTTCCCAGATGCTGTTCCCAGAGCCTCAAGGTGTTCCCAGATGCTGTATCAGATCCCTCTTCATCCAGGATGCAGAGGTGATTTCACCTCAGTTTAAAAAGAACCAAGTTGCACATATGAGAGTGGCCTAGGGATAAAAGGAGATGCCTCGGGAGGTAATGAGTGCCCTATCTCTGGGGATATGTAAGCAGAGACTAAGTGGCCACTTGTCAGGCTGCCATACAGAGTATCAAGAATCAGATGTGGTATTGGATGATCTTTTTTATTTTTTAATTGAAATTTTTTTCTTAATAAATAGACACGGGGTTTTGCTATGTTGCCCGGGCTGGTCTTGAACTCCTGACCACAAGTGATCTGCCTGCCTAGGCCTCCCAAAGTGTTGGGATTACAGGCATGAGCCACTGTTCCCAGCCTGGGTGATCTTTGAAATCTTTCCAGTTCTGATATATATGGTCGAGTCCTGATCCTCATGAAGACTTGGGGATAGTCCAGTCGGCGGTGGTCTGTGGTAGAAGGGAGAATGACTTGATGGTCCTGGAAGTTTATAGGAGTGGAAAGAGTAGGGGACAAACCCAAGCAACCAGAGCCTCCCCCTCACTCCTGCCCCACACCACTGAGAGTGTGTACGTTTGATCCCGGGGTGGGCAGCAATGGCCAGGCTCACAGCAGGGAAGTGTCTGTCGGGGTATTGCATAAGTGCCTGCTTCTGATCTTTCCTATCCTTTCTCTCTATCTTTCTGGATCTCTGCAGTGGCTCTAGAGGGAGGTAAAGAGGCAGAGACTGTCACTTCCATTTTACTAGGGGAAGTGATGGAGGCTACACAGCCATACAGCTGATATGGACTGGGGAGTCGGGAGGAGCTGGAGTGCGCCTAAAGCCTCAGTTCCCTAGTATTTTCCAGCTACCTGTTGCCCCTCAGCCTTTCAGATGCCCTTTGGAGGCAGAGCAGCCTGGGGCTGGGCAGAGCTGGGGCCGGTGTGGGGAAGAGTTTCAGTCAGAAGGGCATGATTAGCAGGTTGGATGCGGAGAGAGAAGTGAGACCTGAAGGCCAGAGGTTGGAGGAGAGCAGAGAACGTAAGAAGCAGCCACTGGGGAAACAGGGACATTTCGGGCACACTGGCTGGCTGGCCCACAGAGGCTGCAAACCATGGATTTGTGGGGTACTGGCCTCCACAGCGGTACCATCAGCAGCCTGAGAGAAGAATCATGGGGTAAGAGAGGCAATGGTGAGCTAAGAGGAAGACAGCTGAGGGTCCTTGCCCATTTTTCAGATGAGGTGACTGAGTCTTTGCAAGGTGGAGTTGCTTACTCTGCTGCCTGGTACACAGTCATCCCCAGCTTAGACTTGAGTTTTGTCCTGAGGACATTTCCTGGGGCCACCTTCCTGCCCAGATCTCAGCAGAGGTGAACGGGTGATAGGATCCAAACACAGAGGGTGAGCTGGTGAGCAAGACTGACAAGCTCAAATTCCTCTGATGAGTAGGGCAGCGGGTGAGGTGACACTGGGGGAAAGAATAAGGCAGGGAAGGCCAGTTTTGACCAAAAGGATCTGGGGGGCTCCTCATAGGAGGTGGCATTTGAGAGCTGGGTAGAAGGAGGAGAGGGCATTCCAATCAAAAGCAAGAGAGATTGTGCCAAGTCTGGTACTCTGGTGAGCATGTGCAGGGAGAAGACCAGCACAGCAGGATTTGGAAAGGGAGAGAGGTAGAGAGAGGTGGGTGGCTTAAACGTGGTCAGAGGCTTTGGAACATTTAGTCTAGAAGCATTTAGGGAGATAGTTTTGAGCTATGCGTCTTAGATACTCAAGAAACATTCACTCTGCTGAGTGTTTCAGATAAAAAGGTAACGTGAAAGTGACTAGCCCCGCACTATCCAACAGAAGGAGAATGCAAGTCACATGTGTAATTTTAAATGATGTAGTAACTACATTAAAAAGAATAAAAAGAAACAAGTGGAATTAATTTTAATAATATATTTTATTTAATCCAGTATACCCCAAATATCATTTCAACATGTCATCAATATAAAAAATTTGATACTATATTTTCTCTTATTTTTGCTGCCAAGTTTTTGAAATCTGGTGTATATTTTACACATGTAGTACATCTCAATTTGGATGCTAAACGTTTGACAGTTAAAGTTAGATGTAGTCCTACCAAAACAATAAAGCTGTGTTTAGTGGGAAAAATATTTTATACTGCTTCTATTTTAAAATTAAAATTAAAATCAAATCAAATAAAAAATTCAGTTTCTCGATTGTACTGGCCACATTTCAAGTGCGCAGTAGCTACATAGGACTAGTGGCTGCTGTGTTGGACAACACAGCTCTAATACAAGTGCTTGGCACATAGTAGGTGCTCAGTAAGTGCTCCTTGGTAGAGTGGATCAGTCACATTCCTTTAGAGAGTTCACAATTAGTAAAGAGGGTAAGAGGAGGGACCGCTAGTTTCCTCAGTCAAGGATGCTTTTGTTTGGTATTTTGGGCTTCCATAGAAAGCTCTGAGTAGAGCTCTGGAGCAAAGACAAACAAACTAGAATATTGTTAGGCTGGTGGATTGGCAAAGGCCCTTTCAGTATAGAGATTCTAGAGTTCTTCCTAGGATGTCTGCCTCCAAGACCAGACTCGGGGATACGGCCACTATGTCCAAGTCTCAGATGAACTGTTCTGCAGCAACAGGTAAGATCTCTGTGGCCTCTGGAGGAAGAGCTGGGGCTGGTTAAAGGAAGCTGCAGGAGGCAGATTATGGCTGAATGCAACATACAGCTTTCAGAAGCAGCCAGGCTGGGCCAAGAATGGAAGCTTTATCTTAGAAAGATAGTGAGCTCTCCACCATCAGAGGTGTGAGCAGGGGCTGGACAAATGAGGAGCAGAAGAGTCAAGGAGGACATTCTGGTTCAGCTTCTGTGACTTTTGAGGCAGGCCTATTCCAACCTGGGTGGCCAGTGCTTCTGTGCCAGTACTGTGTCTACGAGTGCATCTACCCCCTTGTCTTTCCCTTCTGCTGCCTGACCCTGAGGCTGCCACTCATGTGGACTTGACAGGGCAGGGGCCACAAATCATTTCTATTCCCAGCCCAGCCTCTCAGCATAGCCCCGGTTCACAGGGA